TATATTATTTAGATGATTTAGTAATGTAAGTACTTCATTAATTTTCCAATAAGCAATTATTTTTAATTTCTAACAAGTTGACGTTTCTTCGCCAATAATTTAAAAATGCATCTCTTAAAATGGTATTAATCTTGAAATTTGTGATTTATAACGCAAAATGTTAATATTATTCATATAGAAATTTAATTTAATTTAATAATATTATATAAATAACAAGGTGTGTGCCGTGTGGTCCCGGCATAGAATGGGCCACCCGTTTCTTTCTCGTGATTGTCATAAGAGGCAACTTAATGGTAGAGGGATTGGCAGCAGTGGATGCTGTAGTCTAAGAGGGATCTCTTAAAACATCACTAAACCCTAACTGCGGTTGTTAATCCGCCTGCCAAGTGTGGCAATTACTTTTTTTTTATAGGTGAAGATAGAATGGTAACCCTACCTGCGCTATCTGTATACGCTGGCAGGGTACCGGTGAAGGGTGATAGGTGAGAATGAACTCAGGTCAGTTGGTCCATAGTGATCAATTGAACAAGAATTAACCACTATGGTTTCCAGGGGGAACCGCGTGGAGGTCGACCTCATAGGGTAAATTGCTAGCAATGGAGTTGGAAAATCTTATTATTAACAATCTCTTTCCCGCCGTGGGAATGACTGACAAAATGTTATGTTAAATGCAGTAGATTATTGTATAACGCTATAGTTTAGTAACAAACACATATAACCCGCCTGCCAAGCGTGGCAACTACTGGCGAAACTCACCTTCTGAGGAAGGCTTATGTTCAGCAGTGGATAGTTAACGGGTGATATGATGACGAAGATAATAAGGTGATTAAAAATTTCGAAGCGAGTGGAATTTAAACCTATTAAAATTCGTCATTTGTAAAGGTTTTAAAATAATATTAATAATGGGTGATGAAATGTTTTACGAGTATGAAATATTTAAAGTGGTCATTTTAGCCTCACTGGTATTTTATCGACACTCTTGTACATTGTAATAGTGGCAGCGCGGACACGGCGGAATTGAATTCCGGACCGTTCCGCGGCGTGATCTTTTAACCACACGACCCCTGACCCCCAGCTAGACATGGTCTTCGCTTATCTGATCAAGAATGGAGATATCACTCGATACTGATACGTTATTTTTTTTTTTTATTTCTGGATATTCTCAATTGGTTCAATGTCCTCTAGACATGAAACTGTTAAAAATCCGTAGACTGAATAAAAAGTAGTAAATATTACTTACTCTACTACTCGATATAAAATACTATACCAAACAATCTGATCACTGTGATAACGGGAAATCTTAATTCGCCTGTATTTTCGCTTTTTCGCATGTATCTTTGCGCCTATTGGTCCTCATGTATTATTCGACACAAATTCTTTTATATTTTGTGTTGTTTTACGAAACAAAATCTCAAATTATTATTATTATTAAAGTCTCCTTTATTGGTCCTGTATTAACAAGTATTAAGTTCGACACAAATGGAGTCTTTTATATTTTGCATTGTTTTACGAAACAATATCTCAAATTATTATTATTATTAATCAATGATAAAATATTTTTTTGTAATATACCAATTAATATAGGTACAAAAATAAAACTCTAAATTCACTCGTACACAAAAATTACACTTAAGAATTTTTACAAATGTAGATTCATTTAAAAAAATATCTACTATATAAGTAGAGTCCAATACGATAGTCGTAACGAAACTATGTCTAGGCATTATAATTCTCAGATAATTTGCTATAATTACTAATTTATTATAGTATAAATCTCAGATAATTAATTATATTTGCTAATTTACTATAGTATTCTATGTAAACATCTATTTTTAAGAGTTTGTTATCGTGTATTTATATTATTTTTATTAAATTTCACAATGATTAACAAAAAATGTTATGTTTAGTGGCTGACTGCAAACGAATTTATAATTTGAATTTGAAAAAAGAACACTGAATTTGCCAGTATTTTTGGGTATACATTATACGCTATATCTTCGTCAAATTTGAACCGATTTTGATAATTCTTTTTGTAACCGATAGGATTCACTCTGGTCTTGCGTTTCCTATTTTATTTATCAGTTGTTTATCAGGATTAAAGTAAATGGTTTTAACTGTGAAAAATTTAAAATTATTGTATAAACGAGTGGAATATATTTTATAAAATATCGTAAATACATATAATAAAATATTTTTATTTATGTGAACTTAAAAGTCAGCAGCGTCCCTCTTAAAACATCACCATAGCTTAACTGCGGTTGTCTACCCACCTGGCAAGCAAAGCAACTACTGGCGTAACCCCCCAAAAGAGAAGGCTTGTGTTCAGCAGTGGACCGTTAACGGCTGATATGATGATGATGATGATGATGATAATAATAATAAAAAAACTTAAATTTAAGGCTTTAAATACGTACTATGTTATTTTACTATATTTTAATACAAATTATTTGCAAAACTTTTTATAATCAACCAAGACTGTGCTGGACTTTTTTTTTTATACAACTTAGAAAGGCAAACAAGCTGTCGGTCCACCTGATGGAAAGTGGTAACCGTCGCCTATAGACATAAATTCACGCCATATCCCACCCTTCAAACCGAAACACAGTCATGCAAACACAACGGCTTCACGGTTGAAACACGAATGGGACAGAGGTACCCAAGCAATCGACTTTTGTACAAAGTCTCCCTATATATTTACCCAGTATATTTTCTATAGTTGTTACTAAAAATGATAAAATGAAAGAAATCTTAGATAAAGAAAGTAGTTTTTGCGGTTACTTCTAACAGTTACCTTGGTTTAGCTATCTCGTAAAATTATAATTTATGGTATTCTGTGGATTCTGGATGTGTTATTAGCTTTCTCGCTTTAATTAGCCTTATAACATTTCTATCCAACTTCAAAACTGAAGGCGTTCTGAATTTGGCTGCATTTTTTGTGTGCATTCTTTTTAAAGAGAAAGGATTTACTTCTATATGTATTTATTGAAGTATGTTTATATTTAAAAAAAAATCCTAAATTATTCGTAAAAATATAAGTTTCTTTAACATTTTTTATATTCGATTCTCATATGGTGAAAAACATAATAATATAAAATACCAATCTTTAGTAATTATTAAATTACCAGTGATTTCTTATTTATTTATTTAATTCTCTATTGTACACACCAGTTATAAGAATATGACAGAGGTAATCAAATGTATAAAGGCGAGCTTAACTCTAATAGAGTTTTCTTCCAGCAACACCCAAAGTGGAAAGGAGCACCAATGTCAGCGGATACAGCAGTTGTGACAAGGGGGAAAGGGATTGTTAGTAATGGAAACTGAGAATCCCATTGCTAGCAATATACCCAACCAGGTCGACCTCCTCGCGGTTCCCCCTGGAAACTATCATGGTTAATTCCTGATGAATTCATCATGATGGGCTAACTGGCCTGTTTTCATTCTCATCTATCACCCTTCACTGGTGCTCCGCCAGCGTATCCCGTTAGTACAGGCGGGGTTACCATACCATTTTCACTTGTCAAAAAAAAAATATTGTGACAATTTTTAAACAAACTAGACAAAATTCTTATATTATATCATTGAAAAATAATCATTAAATGTGCTAATAAACAATAAATAAATAAATAAATTATATATAATTAAAGTACCACTTACTATAAAATTTTGTAATATAAATAACTATAAAAATTCTATATAGACTTATATAGATATACCTATATATTCATTCCTATATAAAAGTTACGCCCAATAGTGATCTGAATTAAAATTAAAAGAAATAAATATTTTTTTATTAGATAAGATATCTGTAGAGCTGATTATTTGTTTAGACTTTATGGGGAAGGCTTATGTCCAGTAGTGGACAGTTAAAGTCTGAAATAATAGTTATATAAAATAAATGAAAGACCTAGTTGCATACTCCAGTTAACGTTTATAGATAAAGTAGATGTATAAAGACCTCGCCGATTGTAACCTTAATAAATGAAGTAAGTATATCAATAAATTTTATTAGAAAAAAAAAACACATTAAAATTAATTATGCAAATATTGAACAGAAGCGTGCTTTATTATTTCCATCAAGGTTTATGGTTTTTTATTCTAAAACACTATTTAGAAAGGTATCAATCTATTACTAGTTGGTAGAAAAACTAATAAAGTTTATATTGAATTGAATATAATTTAACTGTCAATATGTATATTAGAATAATTATGAGTTACGTCCATCCACTGACCAAGGTCTGAATGCGTACATATTTTCGACCGTATGCAAATATCTGAACGTTTAAATCAACTACGTTTTATTGACTTACTTAATTATTTTATATACAAAATAAAACTTAATAATTATGCAGTAATTATTTTATTACATGCACTCGTACATACAAGTTTAATTAATGCTATAATCTCTTAGTAATAATGTAATCAATAACACAGTAAGTACCTTATAATTGTATACTTTTTATACAACAAAGAAATATAAGCTGACGGCTCGACTGATGGAAAGCGATAACCGTCGCCTATAGATGTCACGGTATAAGACATCCCTAGCAACCCTAGTGCATTGATTGCTATTCCTGAGAACTAGGGACTAACTTTCGTATCCCTTAAATTTATTATCAAAATTAACTCTTTAAACTGAAATACAGACGGACAAATGTTTTTAATGTATAACGTCATTTAGAAACACGAGTGGGACAGAAGCGCCCATGCAGAGGACTTTTATATGAAGTTTCCCTGTAGTAAATTTTCCCGTTAGCTGTAATTTGGAAGTTGAACTAAATATAATAATTATTTATTATACAAATAATTATTGTATAATTAATAAAATAAAGAATAATACAATAAAATACTAATAGCAATATATATTATAAATATTTGAATTACTTTTTCTCTATTAATTAACCCGGCAACTACGCGCGGACTTAATATATTGTTTTATAACATGATATAATGTGAGTGAGTATTATAGTTGAAATTAATATTTGTATAATAAAACTAACCTTAATCTATGACATCCAAACTTGAAAACAACTTCAGCTTTTGTGATGATAGCAACACAGCGTCACAAATGTTTATCACCAATAAATCCAATGTCACTTTTCACACACAGCAAATAAAAAACACTGTCAGTTTTAAACAAAAACACAGTTTGTGGCCAAAAAGTCTTTTGTACTAAGCTCTATTTACAGTGAACTGAAAAATGTTTCAGTTAAAGTTCGTAAAAAGTTTTCAGTGCCGCGCGGGAAACCGTGCCGAAACAAAAAAAAATCGTTCGAAACACCAAAAATGCAACAGCCGCGCGCGCCTTACACACGCGACTGAAAAAATTGCCACATCTGCGTAAGACTCGGAAACTAAATCAAAATACATACTCGCTAGGAGAGGGACGAGTCAACGCAGGCCCCACCCTTCCCCCACCATCGGCCGATACGCAAAAACATTCATAAAAACCACGCTCGACTCCTCCGCGAAATTATCAATTGTTTATATCACTACAAAAATGTAAACCGCAACGTATTATTCATCTCGTATGGGCCCTAGATTAAGCAAAACATTAAACAATTAAAGAATCACACAATAGAATTCCGACAATGTCGAAATAATTAAAACAATGCACAGTTTAATTTGTATAAATCATAATAATAAACACTAGTCAGTTGCAATGTTATCGAAAATAATCGATTCAACGACTACGTATCGGCGAGTATTTTTCTTTTTGAATGTGATTCGATTGTTTATTTTTGTTTCGGCATCGAGTTTTCCCGCGCTCCTGGAATCGGTTGTGGATTTCGAGTATACTCTTTGCTCGAAAGCGACCGCACGTTGCAGCCGCTCGGCTACGAATAAGAACGTTTGGGCGCAAACGAGCGATCTCCGTTTTTTTCTGCCAAAAAACGCAGTAAGAAAGGGTTCTTTTTGGGGTGAATTATAAGAAACGACTTTTTTTTGTGTGTGTAAATATTTCCTTGTTGGAAACCAGAGCGGATACGTACTGTACAGTTGACCTTCGAGCAAAGAGCCCGCGAGTTTGTTATATCGTTTCTTTATTAGTGACCTTATCAAACATTAATATCATTGATACAAATGAATTAGATACAAATAATTTAATCATTGTTTTATACGACTATAAATAATATTAGATATTTGTATTAGATAGTCAGCTTCGCTAATGAAACTGTCATTATACGCAAGAATTTTTTTTATGCACGTCATAATATAGTTCATTTAATTATATGTACTCACTAGATAGATAAATATATACGAAGAATAATATACTAAGACATAATTAATTAAAATAATTGCCAATAAAAAAATAATGAAAGCACAAGAAGGGTTAACTTAGGGCACGTCAACTGTAGTCCTAGTGTTGCAAATATAGGCAGATAATAAAATCATAGAAGTAGACAGACAGGTTTTCTTGCTGCAATAAAATTATATACAACAAATTAAATACCATTAAAATTAATTATTAAATAATAATATTATTATAATGTTATTTACCTATAATATTTTTCATTTAAGGTAAAATGTATGTATAAGATTTTATTTTACAAAAAAACAATAGCAAAGCAATAACTTTACTAGTGACAAAGATAATATGAAACCTCAAAGTTGATGAAGTAATTGTCTAACACTAAATTATACAGATAGTACATCAAGCATTGAAAACATGTCAATATTTAGTTAATTAATTTAATTGCTTGCTTTCTATGATTGCTTTTTTAAGTATTACATGTGTACTAAACACAAAAAAATTTCATATCAGTGGAGTTACTCTTGGAATAAATTCCTATATTTCGATATTGGAATGGAGACGCTTTGCACTCTCGAATTGCAATTATTAACATCATATCAGCTTTTAACTGTCCTTTGCTGAACATAAGCTTCCCCCTAGCAGAGTTTTGCCAGTAATTGTCACACTTGGCAGGCGGATTGGCAACCGTAGTTAGGCTTTGGAGATGTTTTAAGAGGGACGCTGCTGCCTATCCCTTGTCCTTTCTTAGTCGCCTTTTACGACACCCTCGGTAAAAAGGGGGTAGCCTATTCTATGCCGGGACAACACGGGACGAATTGCAATCGAATTGCAGTACTAGCGACATAATAGTTCGATGTAGTTCCGATAGATGCATATTAGTGCAACTTGCCAATGCAAACTATTGCAAACCGATCCCAATTCTAACCTAATTCCTAATAGATGTCTCATGAGGGCAGTATTAAATTATCATTGGCAACAGTTGGGTGATAACGACATTAGATTCAATAGCGGATGGTCGTTTTTTTTATTAGATTGATACGATTTGGTTTGACAAAAATTATTATATATATATATATATATATATATATATATATATATATATATATATATATATATATATATATATATATATATATATATATATATACAACTAATTATAAATATTCTCCCAACGCACAACATCGAAGTAGCGTACACAAGATACTGGTAGCATTACCTGACATTTTTTATTTAAATTTAGAACATCATATCCTTCAAGAAAAGAGCATATTCCTTTTTAAAATGTCGGAAGCACACCTGCAATGCCTTTAGTGTTGTGGGTGATCATGAGCGGTGGTAGTCACTTACCATCAGGTGAGCCGCATGCTCGTTTACCCTTGTGTTCTAAAAAATAACTATTTTTCTGATATAATATAAATATACACATGTATGTATATATGTTGCTTATAATTTAATATACATGTGTTTATTAAAATGACGGCCATTTTATTAACTTAACAACGAAATTTTTTTTATATTATACGACTTAGAATGGCAAACAAGCTGACGGCCCACCTGATGGAAAGTGGCAACCGTCGCCTATAGACATGACCATGGTGATAACAGAGTATACTGTTTCGCCCATGATACCTCCCATGCGTTGCCATTCCTGAGGACTCAGGTGTTATTCCTCTGTACCCAGTAAATTCACGCCATATCCCACTCTTCAAACCGAAACACAGCCATGCAAACACAACTGCTTTACGGTTGAAACACGAATGAGACAGAGGTACCCAAGCAAACGACTTTTGTACAAAGTCTCCCTCTGGTATGTTTATATTCAGATATTAAATAAAAAATCTGAAAAAAATAAATTAAATATTCAGTAAAAATAGGCAAAAGCAACAATACGCACTGTTTATCTTGTTCTTATATTCGTTAGAATTATGTAATGTTTTTTTTTTATTTTTAAATATAATCTTTTAATATAAAATTCTCCCACTCACTTAGTATTAACTGAAAATACACACTGTTATATATCGTGTCGTCACAGTATAAAATGGGCCACCCCTTTCTTTCCCGTAGGTGTCATAAGAGGCGACTAAGGGAACTTAATGGTAGAGAGACGGGCAGCAGTGTCGCTCTTAAAACATCTTTAAAAATATAAAATCTAACTACGATTGCCAATCCGCCTGCCAAACCTGGCAACTACTGGCAAAACCTCCTTTATGAGGCTTATACTCAGCAGTGGATAGTTAACGGCTGTTATGATTTTGAATCGAATCATTTGGCGTTCCATTGTTTCTCCCTAATGGGTGAGAGGCATGACAGATATATGTACATGTATATATGTATGTGTGATGGACATACTGGTAACTAAACGAGTCCACTTTTTATATCCATCTGTTACGTACACAATCAAAAAGTTTATGTATCTATATAATCTAAGTAACATACGCACAAAAAACTCATGTATCTATGAAATACAAGTAAGAATCTTCTCCTTTCTAAAGTCACTTAAAAATAAACCCCAAAGAATATCTAGGTATAGATATTTTATACATTTTAAACATGCCATCTGTCTATACAAGTACTTAATTCTAACGCAGTAAATTTCCATCTAGCCGAATACGAATTTACAGGCAACAATTATCACTAACAATTTAAAAAGTATAATACCTGGTTTTCTTTATCAAATCAAAATGGTTATTCTTTTTATTTAAATTTCGAATCCTTAAAAATGAGGTTAAATAAAAAAAAGATAGATTCCAATTTCAAATTCATAAACGCAAACCGCATTTCTTAGATTTGTGACATAAACCGATGAACACCATTAACGTAGTAACCATTTGTATGTGATGTGTCGCGTTCGCACATTGTCAATGCAACATTGTTAACGTTACATTTAAAGGCTGTTTCATATCGACCGATAATACTGACACAGAGACTTATAGGTTTAGACAGAATAATAAATTGTCGTACGCACGATTTAAGATAAAACTATTTAACTATTTAATTAATAATTGTATAAAATTGTTTAATAGTTCTGTAAAAGACTTTTAAAGTAATTGTAATTTATGATTTATGCTCAAGACTGTAAAAACATACCATGGTTTATTATTAATATTATGACTATATTATTTTAGTAAAAATTTATTGCTATTTATTGTAAAAAGGACATTTATACACCTATGTAACAGTGAATATTGCTGAACAATTGTAATTAATTTTGAAATCTGCTACTAGCAATCACCAATATTTAGTAAATAAAATTCATTCGTTCATCAATTATTCATTCATTATTCATTCATTCTTATCAATGCAGAATATTGTAAAGAATTAGCCCAGCCTATTATTATTTTTTATCTTGCTTATTGTATTGTTGTTTTCTGTTTTTATATTTTATGTAATGTATATTATCTAAGTTTATGTTGTTCTTTGACGGAAACAATAAGTTTTTATTACGTCGTTCTCATTTTATCTAATTCATTACATAACTAGATGCCCACCCCGGCTTTACATGTTTTCTTTTTTAATAAAACATAACCCATGTTATTCGCTAATAATGTGATTGAATTCCAGGTGTATTCATCACGATGGGCTAACTGATCTGCCTTTTCATTTTTACCTGTCATCCCTCACTGGTGCCCCACTGTTAGTGGGCGGGGTTGCTATTCCATTATCATCCATTAAAAAAAATTTAATACCTAGAACACCTTATTGTTGTGATGTGTTCCATTAGGTCACTACTGTGCATATTATTTAAATTTAAAGAATAATTTAATTTCAATTTAACAACTGTTAAATAACAAAACTTATAATATTTTTCTCAGCCAATATACAAAGGGCCTTATTCTTAATTTTGTTTACGTTTTCAAGGCGCGTGTGATCTGAATATGTTACGCATGAACTACGTTAAACTGTCTGAGATATGGGTCTGCGAATATGGTATAAAGGTATGCAAAATGATTTATTACATTCAATAATATTATATAAGTTTACTGGGAGAAAATGCTATATAGCATTTTTTTTATGGGTGAAAATGGAATGGTAACCCCGCCTGCGTTAACGGGATACGCTGGCGGAGCACCAGTGAAGGGTGATAGATGAGAATGAAAACAGGCCAGTTAGCCCATCGTGATGAATTCATCAGGAATTAACCATAGTAGTTTCCAGGGAAAACCGCGAGGAGGTCGACCTGGTTGGGTATATTGCTAGCAATGGGATTCTCAGTCTCCATTACTAACAATCCCTTTTTTACTTTATTTTGTTTTGTTTACGTAGCTGTGTTTCGGTTTGAAGGGTGGGATATGGCAGTGAATTTACAAGGTACCGAGGAATAACACCTGAGTCCTCAGGAATGGCAACGCGTGGGGGGTATCATGGGCGAAACAGTATACTCTGTTATGTCCATGGTACTGCTCATGTCTATAGGCGACGGTTAACACTTTCCATCAGGTCCGTCGCGGCGTCGGCTTGTTTGCCATTCTAAGTTGCATAAAAAAAATACTTTTTTTAATATCACTAACAATGAATAGCGTACAAAAGCTTATCGTCATATGTATTATCCATTTTTATTTTTCCAGTTTCTACTATCGA